GTTGTTCCTGGTGTCTGTCTGTCTGTCTGTCTGCAGTTACAGCTGAGGTGCTTGTAAAGCCTTCGGGACTCGGTGAGTCGGGAAGTGAGACGTGCCCCACTGAACCTCGAGAGCTTTGGATCTGGCCACCCTGCACTATTCAGCAGAGCTTAAAAAGTCTCATAAGCTTAAGCCTTACACAAAATGTTTGTTTTCCAGTTACCCTTCACAGAGCCCTAAAAAATAACATAGAGAACGCCTGCACCCCGCTGACCATGACCTGAAAAACCATTGGTTACTGGTATTTCCACTGTTTTTTGGGCCAGCTGGGTAACAGCTTCTTAAGCCTGAAGGAAAGCGAGGACAGCCCGGGTCGAGCACAGCTCTCTCTTGGCTTGGTCTGGGCTCCCATGGGTGGGAGAGCTCCTCTGCCCTGTCTCTTCTGCGTCCTCCTCCCTGCTCTCCGGTCCCCCCTGCACACTGGTTTCCATCTCTCCTGGAGAGGTGCCCGGTGTGTTTTGGCTCCATCCTTTTTGATTCTTTTCTTTAGCAATAGTGCTAAATTCTTGAGAAATTATATTTGCTTTGTAGCGAATCCTACAAACATCATGGTACAAAAAACCTAATTTATTACAGCGCTTTTGAACTCATTGGCTGGGATATTGAGACAGCAGCAACTTTATAATGGAACAGTTAATTCAAGTAACCTTTTGCAGAGAGAGATCTTAGGCAGCTGCATTTCCTGGGTTGTAACAATAAATGTATCGTTAAGGCAACCATAACAAGTGCCTCAGAAGGGGGGAATGTGCTGCCTTGCAGCAAACACTTTTTTGAATGAAAGTTCCATCTTGGTAACTTCTAGAATAAAACCCCCTGCCCCACTTTGAATTTACTTTACGCATATGTTTACCACCCGCTCTGTTGTGTTGAAATGGTTACCTGCCAATTCTCTCCTGTTCCATTCATTTAAATATCTACCTTGCTTTTGAAGTGCGTTGCTTTCCAGCCACGTTCTCCCTGTTGCTTTACAGCTTTTTTTTTTTTAATAACTTTGCTTGTTAGTGCAGTTTGTATCGTGTACTGCTGCTCGGGAATTTTGCTGCTTGGTGAGCTCCGTAGCAGGTCTGCTAGTACATGTGAGCATCCCTGCCTCTTCCCGGTGACGCTGGGATTGATTTCCGTGCCAGTTAGCCACACACAGCACAGGGTATAGTCCTGAAACCCCGTCCCTTTTTGCTCTCTTTGGTGGTCTCAGTTAACAGGGTGAAATGAATGGCTGGTGGGCTCAGAAAAGTGGCTGTCATCCTTTTTTGGCTTAATAAATGGATACACCTGACTTCCACAAGCAGATCTGAGTCCGTACCCTGGATCCAGATGTTCCCTTGTGGTGTGGATGCAGTTCTGTGCCCTGGACCTCCCCTGGGTTATTTTCCTGGTGGATGTGGTCTGGATGAGCGCTGTGTTCTCCAGCGCGACAGGGTGAGCCTGGCATCCTCTGCACTCAGGGATGAGCCACAAAATGACCCAAGGCAGCTGCTTTTAGGAAGGTCCCTGACGTCATTTGATTTCCCATAACCAAAGTGCAGTGCTGAGGGTGCGTAGGGTACCTCCAGGGCAGGTGTCATGGGTAGTTTGAACTGAAATCTGTTGAGGGAGATAGTAGCCTGGCCAAAGGTGCCCATTGCTCTCCATCAACCAAATCTTCCCAGCAAAGAGGGAACTGGCCTTTTCCTTCCCACCAGGTTTCCCAGCACTGCCTATGTCTGTACTGCAGGGGCTCGGATGGGACATGAAGACTCCACGTGCATCCTGGCTGTGACTGCAGAAGGCTCAAGAGGTTGGGTGAAAGGCGTTGAAGTTGTTCCATGCTGAGCATTTCATCTATATTTAGGGAAGAAAAGGAAGCACTTAACTACCAGCTGCAGAGCAACTAACAAGGGTTATATTAGAGAAAAATAGTCCATCACATTTTATTTCCTTCCTGCCTTGCAAATGATTTGGAGAGTGCAAGCTGCCCTTGCGATCCAGCATCCCAGATCCAGAATTTGGATCACGTTCTCTGCCTGCTCGCCCATCAGCCATCCCGTACCTGCGAGAGCATTACAGTGCAAGGGGAGAACCCAACTTGGCTTGCTGCTTCCTGTCAAAGTCAACAAATAGGTGCAACATCCCCGTGTCTGCAGCGGACACAGGGGATGAGGTTACTCCCCAGCTGAGGACAAGGTGTCTCAGTAGCCAAGGAACAGCCTTAGTGCAGGTGTGAGTATGAAATGTTATGTTTCCTGAAGGTTGTTTTTTTTTCATTCCGTTGTCTCCTTCCAAATAGGAAGGTGGCTCTGCTCTGCTCTGATCTGGTAGTTATTAAAAGAAGATCACAGTTGTGCTAAAGTAATCTGGTTTTCATCTGTCGGAATTAAAACTGTCTGGATGTAGCCCTGGCTTAATTGGCAGACAAGATGTTCCACTCTGCAGCGGGTAGGGATTAAAAAAAAAATAAATCTGCAATAATGAGTCTTTTCTTTAGAATAACTCAGGCAAGATTAGATGGCACAGACAGAAGCTGACGAGTTGCAGAGGATGGGTCCCAGGGGCCGTGCAGCACAGGCGAGGGACAGTGCCCGCCCAGCAGTGCATGGCTCGGGTTAGCCTTCGGCTGGTGTGGCCTTTTGGTTTCACTCTCTTGGAAAACACAATAGTGAATCCCATTCCCAGGCATTCTCAGTACCAGCTTTGGAAGGGGTTTCACCTACCTTTTTTTTT